TCAGTGAGGGATGTCCATGTCTCATCGTGGGGCTGGCCATATGGTCTTCTCTGTGGATTGGCTGCTTTAAGTGGGAATATCGTTGTCAAAGATTGGTGGGCCAGGATGTGCTCCATTCTCTTCGTCCCTCTTCATTTGCTCCCTTGTGCTCTGAGCAGACATGTCCCTCTCCCTGAGCTGCAGCTTCAGTGCTGTCCTCTGAAATAAATTTTTCTGGAGGGGGAGGGGCGGGTGTTTTCGTATTTGGGATTGGGGCCGACCCCTCAGATGTCTCCACTGGTTCCTTACTCCATGCCGGCATATTGTATTCACATTTTGGTGCACGGGGTGTTAATCTCGTCCCTCTTTTCCTGTGGGGATATAAACAATACCCTCCCCTTATGTGGGCTAACCTGTGCCCTGTGCCCCTGCTACCCATTCCTTTTTTTTCTTCCTTCCGCTCTCCTTCTTTTTAGTTGGCTTCAAAATGTATCCCTGGATTTGGTCTGGTCTCTGTCATATTACCTGGTCTTCACCCCAGGAATGTTCTCCGTATATGTTCGTCTTTATTTTAATGTAATTGTTGACCATTTGGTCTATTAGGTTAATTTTTTTAAAGATCATTTTATTGGGGGCTCTTACAGCTCTTACAACAATCCATACATCAATTTTATGTAGCATAATTGTACATATGTTGCCATCATCATTTTCTAAACATTTACTTTCTATTTGAACCTTGGGTATCAGCTCCTCTTTTTTTTCCTCCCTTCCTCCACTCCCACCTTTGTGACCCCCTTGAAAATTATAATTATTTTCATATCTTAAATACCAATCACTGTCTCCCTTCACCCACCTTTCTGTTGCTGATCCCCTTCTTGGGGTGGGTGGGGGTGGTGATGGTATTGTATGTAAATCATAGCACTCCGTTTCCCCTTCCCACCTTCCTGGTATCAATACTCCCATTTCTCTTCCTGAGGAGTTTATCTGACCTGGATTCCATGGGTCGTTCGCTCTTATCTGTATCAGTGTACATGCTCCAGTCTAGCCAGAACTGAAAGACAGGACAGAGGTCATGATAGTGAGAGTGAAGAAGCCTCAAAGAACCCGAGTAATATTGTGTGTTTCATTGGTGCTATCCTGCGCCCTGGTTGACTCATCCCTTCCTTGTGATCCTTCTGTGAGGGGATTGTCTACAAGCAGAGGCTTTGGGTCTCTGCTCTGACCTCCATTGTTCTCAACATGTTTTTTAGTTGTTGTTGTTTTGGGTCTTCAATGATGCCTGTTAACTGATTCTGTTGACACCCCATGATCGCACAGGCTGGTGTGCTTCCTCCATGTGGGCTTGGTGCTTCTCTGCCAGATGGCTGCTTGTTTAACTTCAAGCCTTTAAGACCCCAGATGCTGTATCTTTTGATAGCTGGGCACCATCAGCTTTCTTTAGCACATTTGCTTATGCACCCATTTTGTCTTCAGTGATCCTCTCGGTAGGGTGGGCCTCACAGAATGCCAGATTGTTAGAACAAAGAGTTCTTGTGTTTTAAAGGGCTTGAACAGAGGCCCAAAGTCCATCCACTTCCTCAATGTATTGCCATATAAATTTATGTACATATGCTAACACCTCTATTTTTATGAATTAATATGTTCACAAAAGTGCACATAGATATTTATACCTCTATCCATAGCTTTGTTTCCTTGATATTTCCTCCGTTTCCTTTTACCTTCCTCCTGCCCCAACATCATGGTCGTGCTTCTTCTGCCTCTTAGCAATTCCTCTCAGCTTGATTGCTGTTGGTCCAACACCACTGGGGTTTCTACATCCTCCTCATTGTTGATTTTCATTCCCTAGTTGTTCCCCAGTCTATGGCTTTGTTTGCTCACTACTCCTTTCCCCTGCTGCCTCCTTCCCCTAAGTTCCTCCGGAACCATTGGTCCTGTTGCATTCTCCTCAGGCTTGCTTCCCAGGCCTATCTTATAGGCAGAACAACAATAATGGAGGCAAAACCAAAATAACAGAGACAAAACAAAAAAGAAACAAAAGATTGAATAAAAAGGGGCAAAAAACCCCAAAACAAAGGAAAAAGCATACATAATTCCAGATCTGTCTGCTGACTTTTATGGCTTTCCCCACCAGCCCTGCAGAGTTCTGGGAATTGCCCCTCTTAGCCTGAATTCTATTTTGGGGGCTCCTCAGGGGCTTTGTGGTTTTGCTTTGCTCCCATTGCTGATCTATTATGTTCTCTTTTTAGTTCGCCCCAGTGTAGGGACGTCAGACTGGACTACTCCCCACCGTGTGTCCCCAGTATTGTCCTCTGTTGTGGTATGCTCCAGCGAGGGGTCATCATGTCTCGAGCTGTTGTTGGCCCTATGGTCCTCTCTTTGCTTTAGCAGCTCTGTGCAGGGACATCATCTAGTGCCAGTGTGGGGTCTAGTCCCTCACTCTCTCTTTTCTTCTTGGTTTGCTTCTGTATGGGCATGGCAGGCCAGTCCCTCTCCCCAACCTGTAAGTTTAGTGTTGTCCTCTGTAGCACATACATCTAGGGAGGGGATCAGTTTGCCTCTGATTGGGGCCAGCCCTGTAGACCTCCTTGTTCATGAGTTGCTCCATGTGGTTAGGTTGTCCTCAAGGTTTGGTGTCCTGCGGTGGGGTCTGCACTCACACTTCCATTTCTGTGGAGACAGAAACAATACCTTTCCCTAGGGTGGATTAGTGCCCTTCTCTCCCAGTGCCGCCATCTTCCTCTCCCCACCCCCTTTCCCCATCTTTGTGTTGGAATGACATGCACATCCTTGGGTTTAGTCTGTCCCCCACCCGACTGCCTGTATCTTTTAGGTTAATTTTTAAAGATGCACAGCACTTTGTGTTTTACCATGCTCTCCAAGTCACTATGATGCATACTAAAGTCATTGTGATTTGTGCAATATTAGCCACAGGATTAAACCTGAACTCCCAAGCATGGGAAACATAATAGGTTCTTGCCCACTTCATTAGCCAGGCTATGACAAGGAACAACTGGCTATAGTCTTAGATGGCTGTGTTTTGATCTTTACTAGGGTGCTGTGGAGTCTATTGCCATGAAGAACCCTAAAGAGAGGACAGCTCTATTTGAAGAGATCAGTCGCTCTGGAGAATTGGCCCAGGAGTATGACAAGCGAAAGAAGGAAATGGTGAAAGCTGAAGAGGATACTCAGTTTAATTACCATCGTAAGAAAAATATTGCAGCAGAACGGAAGGAGGCCAAACAGGAAAAGGAAGAGGTAAGTGGCCAGGCTACTTCTGGGCTCTGATGGGCCAGGATGGAACCAGCTTACTTATGGACCCCTGCCTCTTATTTGCACAGGCCGACCGTTACCAGCGCCTTAAGGATGAGGTGGTGCGAGCCCAGGTCCAGCTGCAGCTCTTTAAGCTTTACCACAATGAAGTAGAAATTGAGAAGCTCAACAAAGAACTGGCCTCTAAGAATAAGGAAATCGAGAAGGACAAGAAACGTATGGACAAGGTAGAAGATGAGCTGAAGGAGAAGAAGAAGGAACTGGGCAAAATGATGCGGGAGCAGCAGCAGATTGAGAAGGAGATCAAGTAAGAAGTAGGCTTGAGCCTGTAATTTGCGAGGAACCAAGAGGCTATGCTATGCCCTAGGACTCTTCTGAGACTTGAGTCCAGTGCCCATACTAGTTTCTTTATCTTTCCTTTGACTTGCCTTGCCCAGAACTGGGGATACTTCTTGCTTTGCATTTTTGTTAGGTAGTAATTATGTACACAGACTTGGTAAGATAGGTACTCAGGAGGAGACTTTTTTTTTTTTGAGTCAGGAAGTTCAGTTTTTATTTGGTGGGCACAGGTGAGGCAGGGCACAGAGCTACTAAGGCCTTCATGAATGCAGGGCCCGCCACTTGTCCAAGGGGCCATGATTAGGGATGTGTTTGACTCCATAGCTATCTGGGATAAGGCGCTTCTCAGCCACCATGTCCTCTAACTTATCCACATTAAACTGGGTGAAGCCCCACTTCTTGGAGATGTGGATCTTCTGGCACCAAGGGAACTTGAAGTTGGCACTGCGTAAGGCCTCAATCACATGCCCCTTGTTTTGAAGCTTGGTGTGAATGGACATGATGACCTGGCCAATGTGGGCTTAGCCACTCTGCCTTGGGATTTCCCAAAAGCTCCTTGCATCCCAGCTTGGAGCCTAGCTTAGGGAGAACAGAAATTAGCCAGGCCAGAGCCATTGAAAAGCAGCAAAGGTAGTCTCCAAGGTCCCTTAGGGCAGCCCATACATAGCAACATGCTGCATACACTACCAAGGAACCTTGCTGTTTGCAGCTATTGCACTTTGGCCCCCACAAGGAGGAGGATGGTCTGCTGAATTGGCTGCAAAGAGGGAGAGTTTGAAAGAGGTTGTGACCTTGCTGAATGAGAGCCAGGGTAGAGGAGACCCGGCCAATGGAATGGCCAGGCAGACCTTCCTAGAAGAGTTGGAAAATTTAAAGGATCAGGATTTGAAAAGATTTAGATTAGACAGGGACAAGTAAGTTAGCACAGATATTGGAAATTGGTAATGAAGGGCCTAACCTGTCAAGGGTTGAGGGTCCAGGAAATGATCAGACTGCCCCGTTGTGAGTATCTTTGGGACATCAGGCACTTACTTGGTCTTTTAGGCAATTTCCTGAGGCTGGCAGGTAGCTTGGGCTTGCTTTGTATGAGTAAAAAGCCTAGGTACCCTTCCTTTTACTAAAGTACTGACTGGTTTTCTTCTCGGACAAAAGGGAGAAGGACTCAGAGTTGAATCAGAAGCGGCCTCAGTACATCAAAGCCAAGGAAAATACCTCTCATAAAATCAAGAAGCTGGAAGCAGCCAAAAAGTCTCTGCAGAATGCTCAAAAGCACTACAAGAAGCGTAAAGGTGACATGGATGAGCTAGAGAAGGAGATGCTGTCAGTAGAGAAAGCCCGGCAAGAATTTGAAGAACGGATGGAAGAGGAGAGTCAGAGTCAGGGCAGAGATTTGACCTTGGAAGAGAACCAGGTAAGCCATGAGACAGGCTATAGGGAGTAGATTGCTAGCTGATAAGGACTGGCTTGTTCATCCTTCCTTGTCCTTAACACAGGTGAAGAAGTACCATCGGTTGAAAGAGGAAGCCAGCAAGAGAGCAGCTACCCTGGCCCAGGAGCTGGAGAAGTTCAATCGAGATCAGAAAGCTGATCAGGACCGACTAGATCTGGAAGAACGGAAAAAAGTTGAGACAGAGGTGGGTATAAGATTAGGAATGACATTCGAGGGGAGTTAACTTGCTCAGTCCCTGGTGATAGAGTAGATGTCTCTCTCTTTCAGGCCAAAATCAAGCAAAAGCTTCGAGAGATTGAAGAGAATCAGAAGCGGATTGAGAAACTAGAGGAATACATTACTACAAGCAAGTATGTGACTCTGTCACCTTCCCCCACATTTCCAAGCTTTATTCTCTGTTTTTCCCAAGCTTATTCTTTTGACCATACCTGTCTCTCCCAGACCATACCAGAGTCTCTCCTAGCCAAGAACAACTTCTGACCAGTCAGGGTAACCTCTGTTGTTTCCATTCTTTGTAGGCAATCCCTAGAGGAGCAAAAGAAGCTAGAAGGGGAACTGACAGAGGAAGTGGAAATGGCCAAACGACGAATTGATGAGATCAATAAGGAGCTAAACCAGGTGATGGAACAGCTAGGGGATGCCCGCATTGACCGCCAGGAGAGTAGCCGCCAACAGCGAAAGGCAGAGATTATGGAAAGCATCAAGCGCCTTTACCCTGGCTCTGTGGTAAGAATTGAAAGGGAACTCATTTGCTGAGCACATGTGCTTACAATTACTGTTAAATATTTTGCTGAACAATCCTGTGAGGGTAGGGTTGCTAACCCATTTTTTACATGGAGGGTGAGAAAGATTAAATTACTTAACTCAAAGCAACACAATTTGCAAGTGGAAGAGCTTCATTTAAAACCCATTTTGTTTAAATTCTAAAGCACATGTTCTTTTCCTCACATCAGTTTTGTCTTCCTAAAGATTTGTCTTGCTGTGCCTACTTCTCCATAGGAGTTGCAAAAGACTTTGAAAGGAAGAGGGGTCAAGGGACCACAGGGCCAGGATTATTCTCCCAGGAAGTAGGTGTGGGACCTTTATATTCAGAGAGTACTGTGTATGGAGTCTTCTATATGTTCTCTATTGGCATGTATCAGCCAGGCCATTTTCTTTTTTTCTTTTTTTAAGTCGTGTAAATAACAAGCATTTATTATCTCATCGTTTCTGAAGGCCAGCAGTCTGAGACTGACAGAGCTCTTTGATTCTGGCTCAGGGCTTTTCACGAGGTTGTAATCATCTTTAAGTTTGATTCTGGCTTGAAGACTTCCAAGATCACTCACATGGCTACTGGTAGGAGGCCCCAATACTGCACCATGGATGCCTTTTTGTAGAATCGCTTGAGTGTCCTCATCGACTTGGTGGTGGTTTTCTAGCACAAGTGATCTCAGAGGAAATTTTGTTTCCCACAGTGGTTGCACCATTTTATAGCAATGGATGATATTTCCCAACTCTCCTTACCATTGGTTTTTCCTGTTTAACTGAACTTTGGTATTGTTGTGGTGAAATGATAATTTCATTGTTTTGATGCATCTCTCTAATGGCTAATGATTGCTGCCATATCTTCATTTGTTTACTGCCTAAATGTCTTCTTTAGTGAAGTGTCTGTTTTTAATTGGATTGTTAAGAGATTTTTGGTTAAGGTGTCAAGAATTTCCCATACAATTTTGAAAATAGTCCCTTGGAGGATGTGTCATTGCCAAATATTTTCCCCAATATGTAGGTTTTCTTACTCTTGAAGAAGTCTTTTGATACACATAGGTATTTAAGTTTTAAAAGATCCCAGTTATTTAGTTTAGTCTCTGTTTCTTGTGCTTTTCTTTTTTTATGTTCTTTTTTTTAATCGTTTTATTAGGGGCTCATACGACTCTTATCACGATCCATACATACATCAATTGTGTAAAGCACATTTGTACATTCATTGCTCTCGTCATTCTCAAAACATTTGCTCTCCACTTAAGCCCCCGGCATCAGGTCCTCATTTTCCCCCTCCCTCCCTGCTCCCCCCTCCCTCATGAGCCCTTTATAATTTATAAATTATTGTTTTGTCATATCTTGCCCTGTCCGACATCTCCCTTCACCCACTTTTCGGTTGTCCGTCCCCCAGGGAGGAGGTCACATATAGTTCCTTGTAATTGGTTCCCTCTTTCCAACCCACTCTCCCTCTACCCTCCCAGTATCGCCACTCACACCACTGGTTGTGAACGGATCATCCGCCCTGGATTCCCTGTGTTTCCAGTTCCTATCTCTACCAGTGTCCATCCTCTGGTCTAGCCAGACTTGCAAGGTAGAATTCAGATCATGATAGTGGGGGTTGTAGGGGGAGGAAGCATTTAGGAACTAGAGGAAAGTTGTATTTTTCATCGTTGCTACATCGCACCCTGTCTGGCTCGTCTCCTCCCCGATACCCCTCTGCAAGGGGATCTCCAGTGACCTACAAATGGGCTTTGGGTCTCCACTCCGCACTCCCCCCATCATTCACTATGGTAACATTTTTTTGTTCTGATGATGCCTTATACCTGATCCCTTTGACACCTTGTGATTGCACAGGCTGGTGTGCTTCTTCCATGTGGGCTTTGTTGCTTCTGAGCTAGATGGCCGCTTATTTACCTCTTGTGTTTTTCTTACTTAGGTTTGATAGTCTCTTAATACCATAAGTTACAGCTCCTAACTCCGTCTCTATTCTTTGATGCCTTACTGTTTTGTTTTTTAATATTTAGGCGATTGTTTCATCTTGAACTGGTGTTTATTTTATTTTTATTTTTAAAAAATCATTTTATTGGGGGCTCTTACAGTTCTTATAACATTCCATACATCGATTGTATCAAGCATATTTGTATGTATGTTGCCATCATTATTTCCAAAACATTTTCTACTCGAGCCCTTGGTATAAGCTCATTTTTTTTACTCTCCTTCCCCGACTCTTGTGAATCCGTGATCAATTATATATTGTTATTAACTGGTTTTTATATATGGTATATCTTACTTCATTTTTTGAAAAAGGATATGTGATAGATTTGTCTCAGAGGACACAGGATGATCATGAGGGCTTATTTTGAAGTTCTTATTTTATTATTTTTTTAATTTTGAAGTTCTATGGTAATTGAAAAAAAAAACTTTTAGTGAAGCAAAGGCCAGGAAAGTTGTGTGTCAGGGTTCCCCCCCCCCACATTATGACAATGCACCTGCTTATTCTTTGAGGGTAGCAAGGACTTTGCATTGTAATATTTTTGTTTAATAAAGGGTTCAATCATTTTGTAGCAGTACTTTTTGACTTAACCTTGTATGTAGAAAGTCTGAAGGTAGTGTAAGTGTTTGGTAAATGGGAGCTTTTGCTGATAAACTATTACCTTTCATGGATGTTTTAGGACTCAGAGGCAGGTTTATTGGAGGCTGTGATTTTTACTGCGAGGGAGAATGTAGAGTAAAATAAGGCTCTAGGGACATCCTAGATTTCATCAGACTTTTTGAGCTTTCCAACTCTGGAGATTGCAGGTTCCCTGAATATTATCCTTTGGTTGCTATAATTCTATTCCTGGCTTCATTTCAACTTGATTCCAAAGAATATTTATTGATCAGCCTGTATAGGTAATTTAGGATAAATTATTCTCAGTCCCTGCTCTTAATCTGATGATAGTCCTTAGGGAACCATAGTTGGTTTGTAGAGGTGAGAGTAGTGAAATGATAAAAGATATATTTTGTGAGAATTTGATAGAAGGTTTTTAAGATGTCTAATATAGTTACTGGGGTGGCAGTGGTCTATAACATGGGAAAAGATTTGGAAAGATGATTTTGGATTTAGACATAACTGTAGACCATTTTCAGTTGTTTATCCTTTGGAGCTCTAGCAGGCTTTTCTTTCTTTTTTTTTTTTCCAAACCAACAGCCTTTACATTATTTATTGTTAGACTTGACGAGGAAGCAAAAAACCAAGGAATAAACCAGATTTGTCAACAGAAGTTCAAGTGATCAGATGGGGACAAAAGTCTTAATGCAACACAACATGACTTGAGACTGGGAAAATGTGGTCATGTGTGCCATCCCTCAGGGGGCTCCTTACAGACCCAGCTTGGTTCTTCTCCAATGTCTTCTCTTGGAGTTGTACCTGATTTTATTACTGATTTCCATTCGAGTCCACTGGGGAATGGGGCCATTCTGCTTCTGTTTCTTGGCCAGGAATCTCTTGATCCTGAAAGTCTTAAGAGACGACGTGGTGAAATCGGAGCAACACCACGCTCGGGCTGGCAGAGAAACTGAGAGCGGGAGAAGAGCTCTAGCAGGCTTTTCATCCATTGCGATTTTGGTACAGATTATATAGCCAGTATCTCTTACGGAGTTGTCATTTCTGAATCAGCTTCTAAAAGCCTCATGCCTCAATTTCCCCTTCTTACTTTATTCAGTATGGCCGCCTCATTGACCTCTGTCAGCCTACACAAAAGAAGTATCAGATTGCTGTCACCAAGGTTTTGGGCAAGAATATGGATGCCATTATTGTGGACTCAGAGAAGACAGGCCGGGACTGCATTCAGTATATTAAGGAGCAGCGTGGAGAGCCCGAGACCTTCTTGCCTCTTGACTACCTGGAGGTAATGCTTGTGGAGATGGAGTCAGGGGAGTGTGAGAGGGCCCTTCCTTTAATCTTTCTATATTCTGTCACTTACTGAACTTCTTATCACAGGTGAAACCTACAGATGAGAAACTCAGGGAACTCAAGGGGGCCAAGCTAGTGATTGATGTGATCCGCTATGAGCCACCTCACATTAAAAAGGCCTTGCAGTATGCTTGTGGTAATGCCCTTGTCTGTGACAATGTGGAGGATGCCCGCCGCATTGCGTTTGGAGGCCACCAGCGCCACAAGGTATGGATTCCCTTGCTAGACAGGAGTTGGATAGACTCAGTATGTCAACTCAACTCTTTTCTCTTCTCTATATTGTATGTAGACAGTGGCATTAGATGGGACCCTGTTCCAGAAGTCTGGAGTAATATCTGGTGGGGCCAGTGACCTGAAGGCCAAGGCAAGACGCTGGGATGAGAAAGCAGTAGACAAGTTGAAAGAGAAGAAGGAGCGATTGACAGAGGAGCTGAAAGTAAGCCATAGTCAGTGCTCTCTCTATGAGTGGAGGTTTCTAAGCCCAGGTTTGCCTACTGCTTACAGCTCATCTCTTCTTTTGTGTTCCCATCAGGAGCAGATGAAAGCAAAGCGGAAAGAGGCCGAACTGCGTCAGGTGCAGTCTCAGGCTCATGGACTACAGATGCGGCTCAAGTACTCACAGAGTGACCTAGAACAGACCAAGACAAGACATCTAGCCCTGAATCTACAGGTGCAGTCTGGTTCCCATCCCTATCTTCCAAGGTCATCCTCGTTCCCTCACGAGTGGAGAACTTTTCCTACTCCTTCCTCTCTTCTAGTCTGCTCCAGCGAACTGTGTCATGTGTATTGCATTAGAATACCTGCTTCACTGGACTGTTGTCAAACATATACAGTGTTTAGACTGGTTTCTGACACAGTAATTTTTCAGTAAATATTAGGTGCTATTATTAGCATTATACCCCAAATACTAGTGTTTCTTCTGGAAGTGAATTACAGGCATTTAAATCCAATTAGATGAGGGGACTATTGTATGTATGAGGGATATCACAGTGAATACAGTAGACAAAAAAATCTTAACTCTCATAGCGTCTATATTTACATGGAAGGAAATTAAATAAATGACATCATATATCAGAAGATAGTATTTTGGAGAAAAACAAAATAGGCAAGGGAAATAGGTAAGAGTATTGTTGGGGTTGGCATAAACATTATCAACTGTCTACTCATAGAACAGCTACCAAAAGTCAAAGATACTGATGTTGAGTTGATTTCTACTCAAGGCACTAGAACTGCCCAGAGTTTCCAAGGCTATAAATCTTTTTTTTTTTTTTTTTTTGATCTTTGGCAGGCCGTGTGGACTTTATTTTTTTCTTTTTTAACATTTTATTAGGGGCTCATACAACTGTTATCCCAATCCATACACACATCAATTGTGTAAAGCGCATTTGTACATCGTTTCTCAAAACATTTTCTCTCCATTTAAACCCCCGACATTAGGTCCTCATTTTTCCCGTCCCTCCCCGCTCCCCCCTCCCGCATGAGCCCTTGATAGTTTATAAATGGGTATTTTGTCATATCTTGCCCTGTCCAAGGCTATAAATCTTTACAGAAGCAGACTGTCATGTCTTTCTCTCACAGAACAGCTGGTGGGTTTGAATAGTAGCCATCCTTTCAGTTGGCAGCTGAGTGCTTAACCACTGCACCAGGGCTCCTTAGCTCATTAAATATAGGTCAATAATCCCTTGTCCAACATTCAATGTTCAGAAAGCTCTCAGAACAAAAGTGGTTTTTGTGGTTTGTGTGTAAATGGGCAAAAATCTAAACTGAATAGATGTGAAGCTATTTGTTAGCTTAATCCACTTAATGATTATGGGAGTGCTTCCCAAGACCAATCTGGAGGTATTATATCATATCTATTGTTTTACCCTTTGCTAAAATTTGAAAGTCTGAATTTTAAAACATCTCACCCCAGGGTTATAGATAAGGGATTGTGAAACTGTAAGGGTATTCACTGTGTTCTCAGCTCTGTGGATTAGATCTAACCAAACTCGAGGCCAGGGAGGAAGTTAGGTGATTGTTCCAGTGAGAGATGATGGCTGATTTACTAGGGCAGCAGTGCTAAATTCCGATTCTCTTCCTTACTTATGAGACCAGGGCAGTCCTTTTCCTCCAAGGAACTTGGTATATATTTTCCTTTTCAACTCCATTTCTCGCAGGAAAAGTCCAAGCTGGAGAGTGAACTAGCCAACTTTGGGCCTCGCATCAATGATATCAAAAGGATCATCCAGAGTCGAGAAAGAGAAATGAAAGACTTGAAAGAGAAGATGAATCAGGTTGGTAGTTGGGTAAGCCATGGGCATCAGGTAGGACTGGACCTGGAAGCAGGACCCTGACCAAAAAGGCCTCTATCCTCTCGCTTCTCCTTTCAGGTAGAAGATGAAGTATTTGAAGAGTTTTGTCGGGAGATTGGTGTGCGTAACATCCGGGAGTTTGAGGAAGAGAAAGTGAAGCGACAGAATGAGATTGCCAAGAAGCGGTAGGTGGAAATATGGGTAGAAGAGAAGACAAAGATGCTTTGAACCTCTCTCTAGCTTGATACCCTTGTAAAGTCAGATGTCATCATAAAGCTGGGCCTGGCTCTGTGGGAGTTTAATGGAAGTAGGCTTTAAATAACAGAGATCCCAGGAAGGCATTGTGGTAGTACACAAGCGTCCCAGTAGTACCTGTGTTAAAATCTTGACCTCCACAACTCATTAGCCTTGTCATCTTTAAGCGTCGGTTTCTATATCTGTAAAATAGGATAATGTATCTGTAACATGGCATTGTTGCAAGGATCAGATGAAATAATCGTTATAAAGTATTTGGCATAATACTTAGCACATACTAAAGAACAATAATTGTTAGCTGTTATTATTGTTAGTATCCTGACGAAAAATGCTGGGGTGGAAAGACCTTGTTTGAAAAATAGCAAGAGCAAAGCAGTTTCTTCATTCTTCCCAGTTTTAGTTTATTCATTCATTCAACAAACCTTGAGTACCTACTTTGTGCCAGGTTGTCCTGCGGTAGGTATTGACAGGGCTGGGGAAAGGTAGAAAGAGATGAAACATGACACAGCCTCTACTCTCAAAGAGGTCACTCTCTGGACCCTATGCCTTACACAGTAAATCGTTCATCTAGCCCTTTACCAATACAGTAAAAAAATCATTTCTCTTCTGTCCCTCAGCCAGTTTCAAGGAATAAAGAATTGAATTAGAGACTATTCCTGTCTTCAGAAAGGTTATAGAATACTGGGGGAGACTAGTAAGTCAACAATTTCAGAACAGTGTGATTGATGTTATTGAGGTAGATAACAAAATACAGAGATAAAAAAATTTAATAAATCATTTTATTGGAAACTTATACAGCTCTTATCACAATCCATACATCAATTGTGTCGAGCTCATTTGTACATAATGTTGCCATCATCATTTCTAAAACATTTTCTTTCTACTTGAACCCTTGGTGTCAACTCCTCTTTTTCCTCTCCCCCCCATTCTCCCACCCTCATGAACCCTTGATAATTTATAAATTATTATTTTGATATTTTATACCAGCGATTCTCAACCGGTGGGTCACGACCCCTTTGGGGGTCGAATGACCCTTTCACAGGGGTTGCCCGATTCATAACAGTAGCAAAATTACAGTTATGAAGTAGCAACGAAAATAATTTTATGGTTAGGGGTCACCACAATATCAGGGACTATATTAAAGGATTGTGGCATTAGGAAGGTTGAGAACCACTGTTTTACACTATCTGCTGCCTCCCTTCACCAATGTTTCTGTTATTCATCACCCTAGACAGGTGGACAGTTGTATGTCGATCATTACAATTGGTTCCCCCTTTCTCCCCCCACTTTCCCCCTACCCTCATGGTATTGTTACTCTCCTTATTGGTCCTGAGGGGTCTATCTGTCCTGGAGTCTGTGTGTCGAGAGCTCTTATCTGTACCAGTGTACATGCCCTGGTCAGGTCAGATTTGTAAGATAGACCTGGGGTCATGATAGTGGGGGGTTGGGGGTTAGGGGGGTGGAGCATTAAAGAACCAGTGGAATGTCGTGTGTTTTGTCAGTGCTATACTTTCGTCCCTTTCTTGTGACCCTTCTGTGAGGGGATGTCCATTTGTCTACAGATGGGCTTTGAGTCTCCATACCGACCCCTCTCATTCGCATCAGAATGGCTGTTTTGGGTCTTCTGATGCCTGATAACCGATCTCATCGACACCTTGTGATCACATGGGTTGGTGTGCTTCTTCCATGTGGGTTTTGTTGCTTCCCTGCTAGATGGCCGCTTGGTTAACTTCAAACCCTTAAGATCCCAGACATTATGTCTTTTGATAGCCAGGCACCATCAGCTTTCTTCGCCATATTAGCTTATGCACCCATTTTTGTCTTCAGCAATCGTGTCGGGAAGGTGAGTATTACAGAATGCCAGGTTATTAGAGCAAAGTGTTCTTGTATTGAGGGAGTACTTGAGTGGAGGCCCAATGTCCGTCTGCTACCTTAATACTTAACCTATCAGTATATGTACATAGACCTATATCCCTAGTGTTGTACATGAATATATTTACATATGTACATGCCTGTTTATATCTCTATAAATGTCTTTTGCCTCCTTGTTCTTTCCTCTATTTCCTTTTACTTTCCTCCTGACCCACTATCATGTTCAACCTTCATTCAGCTCTCAATACAGAGATGTTTTTTTAATTTAATAAATAATTTTATTGGGGGCTTTCACCACTCTTATAACAATCCATACATCAATTGTAACAAGCGCATTTGTACGTAAATTGCTGAGTTAGTTAATTGTGCCAACCTGGCCGATAATCACATGTGGGGCTAATTGAAGGGCCCGAAGATGAGACCCTAAGGTCAAAAGGCAGTCAAAATACGACTGAGGAAGAGCTATCTTCTCAAAGTAGACCATAAAGACATAAATAAAGTATTGCCTTTTAAAAAAAGATATGAAAAATCATAATTTATAGTTTATCAAGGGTCCACGAGGGTGGGAGGGCCAGGGAGGGAGGGAAAAAAGAGGAGCTGATAGCAAGGGCCCAAGTAGAAAGACAATGTTTTGAAAATGATGATGGCAACATCCTTAACACAATGGATGGATGGTTTGTTATAAGATCTATAAGAGCCCCCAATAAAATGATTTTTTTTT